ATAAATAATTAAAAATAAGGCAGTAGTAAAAACAAATAAATTACAAAATAATAAATATATATGTATACCGTCATCATCAAAAGTTGGTATACAGTGGCATTATTTATTTATTTTGTTATATTAATTTTACCACATTGTTTTAAAAAATATAGTTCATTCTACAGGAAAAATTGGCAGAATCACCTTTTCAAATTACATATTAATTATAATTATCTATATTGACATTTGTATCGTAGCCAATAATCAAATCTTCAAGCCTTTGTATTTGATTTTTCAGTCCGTAATGGACATATTCCACCGGGGAAACATGTTTTATTACAACTTTTTCGTTCTTTAAGTCAAGCAGGGCGGACGGACTAAGCGGAACGTCTAAGTTTTCTTCTCTTAAAATTATTAGGAGTTCTCTCAAGCTCTTGTGAGGGATTCTGTTCCTTATGTGCCACGTTCTCATCTTTTCACGAAAAGATTTGCGCAATGGCACACTTTCCGCACTGGCACCCTCAGTATTGGTGACCTCTGCAGTGGCACCCTCATCGCAAAATAATGCACAATGTGTCTCAGAAACACTCCCGGCGCCGATTTCACGAATTTCTGCAGTCTCATCGTTCCGAACGAATTGCTCGGCATATAATTATTATTTTTTGTTTAACAAGGCGTTTTAAATGCCTTTTTGAGCAATGCATTGTTATATTTTCACTTAGCACAGAGACACGATTTAGTTATAATATATTTAATAAATTTCTCACTTTAATTTGTGTGTAATACCACGAGATTTTTCTGGAAGGCACAAACACGTCAAATTTTCTTTTCTTGCATATTTTACTTACAGTAATGTTAACTTACAAGAATTTCCCCTTTGTACAGAAAGTGTGTTTTCTGTACGGATGGAGGGAAAAAACTAAAAAAAGAGTTCACTTTAGACCCGAATTTATTATTACTAGGAATACGCTCCAGTTAAAGTAAACTCAGAAATATTATGAAAAAAACAAAAAACTTTTTTAAATTCATATAGAAATAATGTACTACTTGGTAAGAATACTTCGTAGCAGCTGTTTTATTATAATATCCATCTGAACGAAACTTATAACTAAATTTATTTTTGGAATTTAATTACAAGCAGATATAATTAAAAATGCG